CAGAGCCGCACCCCCGTGTGCTCTGATGTGCTTATCTAATGCAGAAAGGGGCCCCCATCTTTGAGGACACAGAGCCCCCCTATGTTCAGTCCTGAGTGTCAGGCTGCAGACGTTCTCTTGGCTTCTAGTCTGCATGTTGCGCTATAGGCACCTTCCTGAGACCAGGGCTCCTGGAAGCTAGCAGCTGCCCAGAGTGGATTCAACTGTCGTAAGAGAGGACCATGTTTCTGTTAGACATTTCCCTGCTATTTCCCTTTCAAGGGTTCTTGCTTTGGAGCCCCTGTTGTAAAAGCCATAGAGTGACCATCAGGGTGACGATTTAAGCGCTTTGCAACTTACTCAATCAGCATGACTTTATCATAACTGTGGAATACATAGTTAGCATTTTTTTAAAATGCTTGTATGCAGGCACTGTGCTAAGCACTTTACATGCATTCTCATGACAATCCTGCAAGGTGGCCATTATCTCCATATAGTGATAGGAAAACTGAAGCGCCAGAGAAGTTAAGTAACTTGATCAAGGTCACACAGCTCATAAGTGTCAGAATCAAAACCTGAACAGGGATTATCTGCCACCAGGTGCCCAGGCCTCCACGCTATCCCTTTTTATTACCTGCTGCTCTGCCCAGTGCTCTGAAGAAACCTCACTATGATCTTGGTTCAGGGAAACAGCCTGGAGGATTCGGTCTTTAGGATTTTGTGCATCTAAAAGGAAAAATGTCTGCAGTGTTGGAGGGAACAAGCAACTAAATATATTCAACAACTTGTAGAGGGAAAAAAACACATTCCTGGAAAACCAGGCATGTAAAACTCAGATAAGCAAGTGGCCTTTACTGACAGGTGTGCAATGTAACAGTGAAACGACTCATATTGGGGCTTGATTCAGAGATACACTTGGTGCCAAATCTGCGAGAAGAGGATATAAATTGGAATTTAAAGCGCAGCTTTGCGATGTACAACGCTTACTCTCAGGGAGCAGGAGAGAAGCCATTGCTTGTCCAGGCAAGAAGTCCATCTACCTCACTGGCTGTCCCCTCCCCATATTCTGCAAATATTTGCTGGGAATATAGAGATGAGTGGCACATGGGTCCTTTCCCTCAGGGCACAGCAGCCCACTGTGCATTTGGCACTTGAGCAAAGGATATCGCTTTCCATCATCTAGAAAGTGGTGACATGGGAATGTGTGCACCCTTTCACAGGCACGCAGACCGGAGACCAGGGAGTTGAGTGAGTTATTGGGGGCCACCCAGCTAGTGAGTAGAAAGCAGAAGAGAGCTCCTATTTCAGGCCATCTCTGTCTCATTCTCTCACTGTTGTATTCCCAACTCCCAGTTTACAGGACCTGGCACAGAACAGGCACTCGGCACGTGCTGAATGCGGGAACTGGTTCTGAGTGTCCCTCCAGAGATGGAAGTGTAAACTGGGGAGGAAGAAGGGGAAAAATGAAGGCCCTCACTAGCCTTCCCTCCTGGCCATAGGAGACTCCAGTTAGACCAAAGGAAAGATTTGCTCCTTCAGAAAGTCGTGTATTTTTTTTTTTTTTGAGGGGAGGGGCGGTTGAGTGAGCTTGCATTGCTGAGTTGAGGCCCAAAACACAGAGCCTTTCCCTTGGGAAGCAGGAAAGCATCAAGGTCCCCTTTCCAAGCATTCTCACAGTGGGAGGGGTGAGGGAAGGGAAGCAGAACCCAGCTGAAGCATCTGCAACTCTGGCTCCAGGCAAGTAAGTAAAGGCCTGCGTGGGTCCACCACCTAGAGAGCCCATGGTGGTCTGTCATTTTTTTTTTTTTTGCAAACAAATATCCTCTATGCCAGCCTTACCCTCCTGGACAGACTGTCCAGGCCACTCACACGAGCCATCACTCAGTAAACCCATCTGGAGCATCCGCCCAGATCTAGGACCTGTGATCACCAGCACAGAAGGGACAGGACTTTTTAAAACCACCAGAGTAAGCAAGCTCAGAGGGAGAAGGGAAAGGTGAGCGAAGCAGGTTACCTGCTGTCAGCATTCAATGGAGGAAAAAATAACTTTAGGGAGGATAAACCAAAGAAGGCTTTCCGGAGGCGGTGGCAATTGAGCTGAGCTTCAAAAAAAAAAAAAGAGGAGGATTTGGACCAGGATGTTTCCTGTCCCCATAGGAGAATTTCCTTTTAGAATTTGATTTTTATATCTGTGACCAGTGGTCTTACAGTTAAAATGCATCATTTTAGGACTGTTGGCAGTGCTTACAAATAGTTATCAAGCCAGAGCCTTTCCACTTAGTCACAAAGCAGAAGTCTGTAGGCTTGCAGGCAGCCCCGACCTGAACCAGATCTTCCACGCTTGCTGTCTGCACTGAGGGTCTTTTCCTACATTTGGCCATGGATTAAGATGGTCGAGAAGATGTCTGTATTTTCTGCAAAGGCAGCACGGTTTGGTAGGCAGGATTCAAGCTTTGGATTAGTAAGGACCATTCACTAGTTTTGTAAACCTCAGCTTCCTCATCTATAAAATGGGAATGATAATAATATTGCCCCCTAGGGGTTGTTGTGACCATTAGGAAAGTTAAGGCTATGAAAATACACATAGAAGTGACTATGAATATCAATTAGGTAAAATGTCATGAGGAGGTTGGCTCCTAGTATGGGGCCAGGAGTAAGGACTAGGTCACTCTTGTCTGCTGGACTCTGATGACCACTGGATGGTATTGGTGCAGTCCCTCTCACTGCTAGGCACACTGGACTACAGCCTACAGCCTGAAGGGCCATGGGTAGGGGGACACTCAATCATCCCAGGAGGCCACTTCTGGTGTTGGCTTCTGTCCCAGGCTCCAAATGCCTCCATTAAAGTGTTGCCTGAGGACAGCTAGACAGAAATAAATGACCCTGCACATTCCTGCCTTCTGCCTCGTCTAAGGCTGTCTGTTCTCTGCTTGGGCCCCTCTGCCTGTTCTGCTGGCTCCCAGGTTCTCTCCCCTCCCATCAAGGGGCCGCCCGCAGGCGCCCTCCTGGTCAAGTACCACAACAACGTGGCACATCCTGGGTACCTTCCTCATTGGTGTTGAGGTTTTGGCCACTGAGCTGCCTCAGCAAATCCCTTGTCCTCTGTGGAAAAGTGTGGCTGGAGTGGAGGGTACAGGGAAGGATCTTATGAGAGATGAGGCTGGAATGACAGGTGTGGATCAAACTCTGAAGGACTTGGTAGACCTCGAGTGGGCCTTATCCTGAAGGTAACAGTTTATACGAAAAAAGTGATCGCTCAGATCCGTCTCCAGTTCTCTTTTTTCTGTCCCTGCCCTCTCCCCCACTCCCACCAGACTTACTTAAAAGATTGGGTTAGCATTAGCATTATGCTTAAAAGATTGAGTTGGCATTGGGTTAGCATTAGCATAAAAGATTGGGTTACCTAAAAAGCAGAGAGTGATGCATCTTCCACTAAAAATAGCCATAACAGTGATAGCCTCATACTTAACTGAGCTTGGCAGTTTCCGGAAAGCGGTCTTCTGGGCCAAGGAAGAGCACAGCCTTTAGGATACCACAGCGCCTGGTCCAGGTTCTGTACTCCCTTATCCTGTCTCCTCTATGATTCTCATGGGTAACTAATGAAGAGGAATGCATTGTACACTGTGAACTTCAGAAATATTTCCTTCCCATCAGTTGCCTGGTTTGCTATCACTGTAGCTCTGAGTCCCTTAATAAGCTCCTCCCCATTTGAAAACAGAGGCTCGAGGAGATTAAGTGACAAAAGTGATCTTAGTCTTAGGCCTGTTGAAACTGAGGCAGTGGCCCTGATGCTCTCTGAATCAGCTTCAGGCTAGTCTTCCCTTTTCTTTTTAAAGAAATAGTGTGAGTTTGCAGCCTAATAGATCTATAGTCCTGTCCTGTAGAATCTAAGAAGTCCAGCAGTTACCCTTCACCCTCTCTCCTTCCCCTTCAGTTCACACTAGCAATACTCCTTCTGGGACAGCTGTTTAGGTCCTTGATTTTAACCTATATTAATCTAATGATCAAATGGTCAATCAGCCACCACCTTAGCGTTCTCTTCCATATATGCTTTCTCATTTTTTTTTTCAATATGGACAGGCTGAAAAGTTTTCAAGTCTTAAAGTTATGGTTTCTTTTTGCTTATCAATTCTGTCTTTCACTCATTTCTCTCTCCTTGTATTTTACTATAAGCAGTCGGAAGGGACCAAGCCACCCCAACACTTGGCTTACAAGTCTCCTCAGCTAAATATCCCATTTCATTGCTCAGGACTTCTACTTCCACAAAACACTAGAACATAAACAGTTCAGCCAAGCATTTGCCACTTCATAAAAAGGATCCCCTTCTCTCCATTGTCTGATAACATGATCCTCATTTCTGCCTGAGACCTCAATAGAATTCTCCTTCATGCCTATATTTCTACCAACATTTTGTACATAAATTTTTATCTATTCCCCAAAAAGATGGGAGTTTTTTCTACTGCTCTCTTCTTTATCTGAGCTCTCACCAGAATCTCCTTAATAGTCCCTTTATGGAAATATAAGTTTTCCTAGCAGGCATCTCAGAACTCTTCCACATTTTCCCCATTACCCAGTCCCAAACTGCTTTCACACTTTTAGGTATTTGTCAGCGTATCACTCCTCTCGGTACCAATTTCCATCTTAGCATGGGTGGCTATGACATAGTGCCTCAGAGTGGTGGTTTAAGCAACAGATACTTCTCTCTCACAGTTCTGGCGGCTGGGAGGTCAAAGATCAAGGTGCTGGTAGATTCTGTTTGGTGGAGCCCTCTTCCTAGTTTGTAGACAGCCGCCTTCTTGCTGTATCCTCACGTGGTGGGGGGAGACAGAGCCAATTCTCTGGCCTCTTCTTAGAAGGGCAGGAATCTCATGTCCTCATCTAAACCTCATTACCTCCCAAAGACCCCACTACCAAATGGCATCATATTCGCACTTGAGACTTCAACATATGAATACGGGGGTTGAGGGGAAAGGAGGGAAACACAAGCAGCTGTCCCCTGACCACGCGTGTTTGTGCCCTAGATCATCCGGGCGGCCTGCAGAACCACTCGCGGCTCCGGACGCCACCGCCTCCACTCTCGCACGCCCACACCCCCAACCAGCACCACGCGGCCTCCATCAACTCCCTGAACCGGGGCAACTTCACTCCAAGGAGCAACCCCAGCCCGGCCCCTACAGACCACTCGCTCTCCGGAGAGCCCCCAGCCAGCGGCGCACAGGAGCCGGCCCACGCCCAGGACAACTGGCTGCTCAACAGCAACATCCCCCTGGAGACCAGGTATGGTGGTGGGGGGCTGGCGCTGGGGCGCTGAGGCACAGGGGTGGCGGGTGGCCAGAGGGCAGCCTGGTTGAGACCCCATGGACTCAGAAAGCTGGGGTCAGGTATGCAGCCTAGAGATGTGGCTCTATGGCTGCCAGAGATGGAAGTAGGGCAGAAAGAGCATGGACTTGAGAATCAAACAGCCCCCAGGTCCAGGGCTAGCCTGCCACTTGCTAAAGGTATGACCTTGGTTAAGTTGCTATACCCTCTGGGCCTTACTTGTCTACACAATGGGGACGTACTGGCTGGAGCGGGCCATTGTAAGAGATGTGTGAAGGTGTCCAGCACAGGTATGTGGTAGGATCAGGCTGTCAGTCCGTGATTGGGTCCACACTTCCTCCCTTCCCTACTATGATATGGTGCCCCTATGCCTGGTATGGGGCCTGCCTGGCCTGTGGTGGGTGTTGAGTGAATGTTCTGCCCCCTCTTCTGCTCCCCTCCGCCAACTCCCCTCTCCTGCTGGCCCCTTTATACTCAGGAGGGTCAGTGACTAGCTCAGGCCACAGAGGCAGTTGATGCACAGCTAAGATTTGAACCCAGTTGCCTGACTCTGTGTGCAGTGCTATCTCCCTAGACCCCAGCCACCATCTTCAGGTCTCTCCTGGCCTGGACCTGCCAACTCTCCAGCCCTGTGCAATGCTTCCTTCAGCTCAGAGACTCAGTAGCTAGCCTCCTTCCCCCTGATTAGCCACTCTTTTTCCAAAATTGAAATTTTCTTATGATTATGAAAGCAACAAAAACTCCCTGGAGAAAACACAGAGAGATACCAAGACCAAAATGAGGTTTACCCATACTCCTACCCCTCTGAGACAAGCAGTGTGGACTTTGGGGGACCTGGCCCATCTCTAAACTGGAGATGAAGTGTCCCAGGCTGGCACCCCTTAACCCTCTACCCTATTTCTCAAAGTAGTGGGCAACATAGATCCTGTCACCTCATACTCCTGCCCCATATCAGTGGAGAGGACAAAATCATTCTGCATTTAACGAAGGGAAATTAATATATATTGGAAAGTGTACCCTCTGACTCTGCCTGGAACATGATTGTGATATTTGCATGCTGAGCCTGTGGGGTTCAGTGAGAGAAAATCAATGTCCTTTTACACCACTTTACTCCTATGCAATCATTTCCCCAAAAGCAAATTTCCCAGAGAGACAGCCCCACCTGCCCCACCTCCAGTCTCTTAATTACCATTGTTTTTATTGACAGCCTTTAAAATCATGTGTGACGTATCCCTCTGTGCCTCCTTTGCCATCATCAGTGACTGGGGGCGATTATTATATGTCATCCCATCCAAATAGCTTAATCAGATCTCTATTATTTCCAACGTGCTTATTGAATGACTGCGTGGCTGAAAGAAGCCAGCAAATAATCAATGGTTCTGATTTTCTGCACGGAACATGGCAGCCACTCCCTTGGCTTAGATGCTCATTTTTATCACTTAGGATCCAATTAGGTGGTTCTTCAGGTTTTTCAAGGGAACAGAACGTAGAAGACAAGCTGCAGGGATGTTTTCCTGATGCACAAAGTTGGTTTGAGATGCGAAGGTGGACCCAGCTTACCTCTCTTGCTTTGCCAGCCAGTCCTCACCTGCTTTTCTGACCTTCCATCTTTCCACATCCATTGCTCAAACCACATGGAACCTTGATTTCTTTTTTCCTTATATTGTATTGTTCAAGTAATAAATGTGGTGGAGAATAGTTAGGAAATGAAAATAAGCAAGAAAAGAAGATCACTCAGATCTATCACCAAATGATAACCATTGTTAACATGCTGTCATATACTAATGTACACCATTTTATATATCTCTGTACTTAAGCATATCATAATTATATGCTAGTATATATAATATTCACTATATGATGTGTATATACTAGTAAGTGTACATACATGTGTATTTATCAACCTTCCCCAATATCTCATCCCCTTCATGCCTCAGTGCCTTTGCACATGCTCTTGCACAACCCTTTCCCCAGAGTTTCCCTCCTCTTCACTGCTTGGTCCAGCCAAGTCCTACTTATTCTTGAAACCCAGATGAAATGTTTGAGATATACTTCCTCTGTGACCCTCCGTGCCTCTAAAGATGGCCTAAAATGGGGAGAGGTACCTAATATAATGGATAACACAATCAGAATTCTGGACCTCCATACTGACCTTCACTGGTTGATGGCACAAAACCAACAGGGTACAGTTTAAGAAGGCTCAGTGTCGAGTCTGGCAGATAGAATCACAACTAATTTTGACCATCATGGTGAGGTAGGAAGAATATGGGCTTTAGAGTCAGAGGGAAGGAGGCCATCTGGGATTCCTATCTTGGCTTTACCACTTACTAGCTGGGCAAGTTCTATGCATCCCCAAACCTGATTTCTCCATCTGTAAATTGGGATAAGAATGCATGCCTCCCAGGTTAGAAGGAAATAAATGTGAGAAGCACATAACTCAGTGTCTAGCATTAAAGACATACTCTAAAAGCTATTTCCCTCTTTTCCTCCATATGTGTCTGCTTCCCATGTCAACACTGAAGAAAAAGTCACTTGAAAAATATGAGTTGAGAGGAAATAGTAGGTTGTACCTCTTCTCGACTTCAGAGAAGTAAGTTTGGTCCTAATGTAGCAAGTTGTCCAAAGCTCGGGTTTTAGGGTCAGACACAACCTATGCTCAAACTCCTACCCCAATGCTCACTAGCTATGAACTTAGACCTTAAATTGTTCCCTTAAAAAAAGGGAGGAAATATGAGTAACTTCCTGTTCCTATTGTCTGTTGCTGCATAAAAAATGACTCCAAAACTTAGTGGCTTAAAAAACCGCCAGTTTACTAGTATTATACTTCACAGTGAGAGTCAGGATTTCAGGAAGGGCGCAGCTGGGCTAGTTGTCTGCTGCATGTGGCATCAACTGACTGAGGTCAATCAGTGGCATTTAGCTGTCAGTGGGCTAGTCTGAAAGACCCAAAAAGGCTTCACTCACATGCCTGACACGACACCTTGGGGGAGACAGCTAGAAAGCTGCACTCAGTGGGACCCCTTTCCCTTTATTGTGGTCTCAGGGCCTCTCCACACGTCTTCCCAGCCTGGAGCTGTACTTTATACTCAGTGGCTCAGGGCTCCATGGTGCTGAGACAGAAACCATTGATCCTTCTAAGGCGTGGCCATATTCTGTTGGTCAAAGCAGTCTCAGGCCAGCCAGCTTCAAGGGGAGCGACAGCAGGCCTCACTTCTCAAAAGGGAGATGTGCCCAAGAATTTTTAGACACTTTTAATCCAATCTACCATCATGCTTCACAAGGCTGTAGTAGCAGATACATAAGGTGATGTCTGAAAATGTCTTAGCACACAGTATGTGCTCAACTATTTATTATGCGGTGCTTTTTTATTCAGGAAAATATTCACCAAATGCTCACTGTGTGCATAACAGGTAAGACATGTCATAGAACAGACACTTGCGGTAGGATACGTGCTATGATAGAGGTAAGCACAGAGGACGTGTGTTTTCATTGCCTTGGGATCCCCAGCTCACAACACAGGGCTTGCATCTGGATGGGTGCTTGATAAAGATAAATTCACAGGTGAACTAAGAGAATGATGGAACAGAATGAATAAATATACTCACCTGAGACTTGAGTGGAACAAAGGGAAGACTTCCCAGTGGACCTGATGTTGTGTGACCAAGAGTTGGAGAGCAAGCAGGAGCCCCCAGGGGCAGCTGGGGAGGTAGGGAGGGCCTGAGAGGCACAGCCTGAACAGAGGCTGAGGCGCCCATTGAGCAGGGCCTGTCTGAGAGAGTTGTCCTAAGCAGCCTTGCCGAGCCCCACCAGAACAGGGAGCCTTCCGATGCCAAGAAACAGTCACGGACTTTTCCCCAATTGTCAAATGGAGTCTATGTTGAGCGACTAAAATAAATAGCTAAGAAAATACCACCACAGCTGGTAGGATGACCAGAAGGGATTTACATTTCAAGCTGGCAGGAAAAGAAAGGCTAGCAGTGGGACAAAGGAGAGTGCAAGGACTTGGTTGACCCATTCCTTTCTCCGCTCCTTCTGTGACTATGGCCCTCCCCAAGGGTAACTGAGTCCCCGAGGGAGGAAACCAGGCCGACCAGTTCTCCATATAGCCGGGTCAGATGTTTCTTCAAGGCCTGCAGGAGCATCTGTAGTCCATTCTGGTGGAAGCCATGTGTTCAGGGTCCCCGAAACCCTGACCCACTTCCTTCACACTCTGCAGCAGCAGACACTTAATTGATTTCCCAGGGACTATCTGATTAATAACCCGTCAGGCTCTTGTCGGATGAAGGGGAAGCCAGAGCAGAGGGCTGCCAGACTTCAGCTCTAGTTCATCTGATCTCGGGCCTGATTTGGGAGCCTGGGTCCCAAATTGTAGGGTCATACTCAGTTTGAGGAACAGCCCTTCCCACCCTCAGGGATGGGAGGCCATCCTCATGGTCTCCATTGCAGCCCTGGTATGGTTCCCAGAATGGCACAAAGGAACTTCTGGTGGACCAGGCCAACCCCTGATCATTGCAAGGAGTTGGGATGGATAGTCATCCCTGCCAGGTGGTGATTCAGTCACAGACATGCATAAGACACAGAGGCCATATAGGAAGCTCATAGGCCAGTGAGGGAGGGAGGCAAACCTGTGGTGAATGAATGAAGATGGCACTCGGGGTAATGCTCTGACTCGGGGAGTGCTGGGGGCTAACAGGACAGTGTGGCTCCCTCTGCATGGCCATCATGTAACAATCATAGCAGATCCTCATAGGGCCCTTCTGGGTGCTTCCAAACAAGGAAGCTCATTAGAGACCCAGTGCCCAGGATTTCCACTGGGGCTGGTCCCATAGGCACTTCTGCCTGGCAAGTACCCAAATTCCAGACTCCCAGAAGAAGAGCATGTGTTCAGCACAGCATAAACCGTATTTTTTGCACAAATAGTGCAGGCACGGTGAGTCAGCCACTCTTATCTGTTAATGGCAGGAACCTTCCTGGAACCTAAGTTTCTAGACACCAGCCAAGGGCCAACCTTATAAGCAAGCCTTTGAAAAGAGAGCAGTCAGGACCGCTATCTTGACTCTTTTCTGCACAGGTAGGCAGTCTTATTGTCGTCCCCACTTTAGAGATGGAGATGGGCAGAAAATGTAATGGGAAGCCTTAAGCTGGGAGTCAGGACACCTGGGTTTTAGTTTCAGTCTGCCACTGATTGGCTTTGTGTATGACAACAGGACACGTGTCTCTCTGGGCCTCGGTTTCATCATCAATCAAATGAGGCCTCCTAATCTGACCCAGAACTAAGTTTGAAATGTACAGGGTACGGTTATTTTAAGGCAGCAGTAGCATTCTGAATAGGCAGCGGTTTAGCAAGTGAGTGTGGGAGCTCTTTCGGGAAACCTGACACTCCAGCACTCTAGGACCCCTCGTTCTGTTACACTGCCTCTTCGCTTGTCCTGACAGACTTGTACTTTTAACATAGTTGTTCTCTCTCTTTTTAAAATAACGGTTTCTTTTTAAAATATAAAAGTAAAATAAAAAGCACTCAATCCAGACACTACAAAATCCCCACTGTTAACATTTTGATCTTCTTTTCTCTGAATATATTTGTTTGTTTGTGGTGGGTTTTATGGGATAGCTTTGACTCACTGAGAACATCATCCTAGAAGAGTGATGCAGGCCGGACTCAAGATGTTTGCTGGGAGATGCCATGCAGCCCGCCTCAGCCGCAGGGAGGCAGCCAGAGCCCAGCCCTGGGCCCTCTGGGCAGGGGCAGTGAGGGCCTGCTGACACTTGGCATATGGACTATAGAAAGACTGGAAATTCCCTCTTGAAATGAGGGGTTGGAGGCAGTAATAATACATCACCTGTGCCACTCTGGATTAAATACCAACTGCGTGCCTGCAATACGCCAGGAGCGCTGCCCTTTTCCCACCCCACCATTCAGTTTTCAGCGAGTATTTACTGAGTGCCTACTGCCATGTTACAGGCATCCATCCTTCCAGGCTCTGGGCACACGGGCAGAGAACGAGGCAGATAAGATTTCTATCCTCATGGAACTTAAATTGCATTAGGGAAAAAACACAATAAGCATGTGCGTTGTGTGTGTCTGATCCTGTGAGGAAAACTAAAGCAGTGCAGGCAGCCAGGGGGTGCTGGGGAAGAGGAGGGTGGGGATGGACAGGAAATTTAGCAGGAGCCTTAAGCTGGGAGTCCTCTAGGTTATGGTTAGGGTTGGATGGGAGGGAATGATCCAGGCCGATATCTGGTGAAAGGCAATTCGGGCAAATGACAGCAAGGGTTAGCTTGCTGCAGTGACAGCGAGGAGGCTGGGGTATGTGTAGCACAGAAAATGAAGTCAGAGAGGTAGCAGGAGGTCAGATTGTGCAAGATCTTGTGGGCCCTGGTAAGAACCATGGTTTTATTCTCGTGGAGCCATTGGAGGGTTGAGCAGAGAAGTGGCATGACCCAAGTTACACTTTAGCTTCTACAAGGAGAGTGATCATCCCAGTTTAGTCATGCTCCTTGAGATCTGAGACCAGCTCTCCTGCCCGAGGGCCAGTGAATGATGGAGCTGACACCTGTCTGACCCCAGGGCCTGTGTGCCTCTCAACGTGCCCTGAGGCCACCTCCCTGGGCAGAAATGAGGCTGCTCTGAGGGACTTACATACCCCTCAGTTTCTCCCAGTCAGCCCTGGGTTCCTAAACACCACAGAACAGCCTGCCAGACAGCCTGAGGGCTTCCTGGAAGTGGAGGTCCACCATCATGGCAGTACTAGCAGGCCCCGCTGCAAAACAGTGTTGCCTTGTGCTCTCACTGTCCTGGGAAATGTTGATGCAGTGCTTTGAGAGTACTTACAGCTCCTCCTCATTGTGGTGTGTGAGGCCTGCCGGGGGTGGAGCCACAGGCTGGGCAGTGATAGAGGAAAGAGGCAGAGCAGGAAAGGAAAGAGCAGAGAGGCCTGAGCCCTGGGGTCCGACACAGCGAGGTTCTGCTCTGGCCCTGCTGCTCGCTTACTCTGTGATGGGACCTAGCTCTGCCAGCCTATAAAACAAAGACGGTGGCACTGACGGTAGGGGTGTTGTGAGGAATATTATTCACGTTAGATCATAGTTGCAGAGCTCCCTAGCAGTGAATAACACCCAGTGAAGATAGGGTAGATAGCAGCTTATATTTAGCATTAGCATTACTACAGTATTTGTTTAGCCCTTAAATATTCTGCCAGAGTTACTCAGTTGGTCCTATAGCAACTTTGTAAGTTTAAAATTATTATTATCCCCATCTTACAGATGAAGGAAGTACACACTATGAAGAGGTTGAAGTTTTTACAGTGCCCAGCCGGGTGGCTCACTAGGTTGGGCATCATCCTGTACACACACACACAAAAAAAAGGTAGCGGGTTCGATTCCCAGTCAGAGCACATACCTAAGTTGTGGGTTCGATCCCCACTTGGGATACACATGAGAGACAACTGATCCATGTTTCTTTCAAACATTGATGTTCTCTCTCTCCTTCTCGCTCTTCCTTCCTCTCTCTCTAAAATCAATAAAAAATATCCTCGGGTGAGGATTAAAAATACAGTGGAGCCTTGACTTACAAGTTTAATTCATTCTGTGACAGAGCTTGTAACTCAAATTACTCATATGTCAAATCAATTGTGAATGAGTGAGACACATGATGCTGGGCTGATGTTGTGGCATTCACTGTGACGTTCGCTGCGCCAACTAGCGGTGGGGTATCTGAAGCTGGCTCGTAACCCGAATTTTAGCTCGCAACTCAAAGCAAAAAATCGGCCGAGAGACGGCTCATATCTCGAAAAACTCATTAGTCGGGACACTTGTAAGTCAAGACCCCACTGTATATATATATAAAATTTTTACAGAAAGTCACACAGCAAGAAAGTGGTAGAAAAGGGACTTGATTTGGGGTTTTCTGGTTCTTAAGACCTAGTCAAAGTCAGAAACAAGGCACCTGGCAGGGCTGGACCCGAAAGTCAGCTTTCTGTAGTCAGTCCTTCCCTGGTGTGCACACAACAGGCTGATGCCCGTACCAGCTGATGCCAGCACCGGCTTGTTGGAAATGAGTCACTGTGGGGTTTTCAGGTGAGGTGGCAGCCGTCCTGAAAATGTCAGAAACAGGTTCCAGGGCAAGTGTGAATGATGCCACTTAGCAGGCGTGACTGGGACCAAAATGGCTAGTGTGTCTGCCTGCCTTCGGGTTTGAAATAGGTAAAGTAACAAATGCTGTGCTGCCCTCCGTACACTTGTGGGTACACAGGAGCCTCCCTCTGTCTTCATTGGGGTGGCGTCTTCACCAATCAGTCATCACCCAGGTGTCTGCACTGCTAGAGGACATGACACTCCAAATATGTCAGCATCAGCTTGGGGGCTTATGAGCAATGCGCGGCCTCAGGCCCTGCGCCTACCTGCTGACGCCAACCCTCCGGGGTGGCCCTCAGTAGAGCACAGCTCTCCAGGTGCTTCTGGTGTTCACCCGAGTTTGAGAACCACTGCTTTAGAGGAAAATGGCCCCCAATGCTTGCCTTTCTTTTTTCTCCGGATCAGCAAAATGAGTGTCTATAGCTATTGTTTATGCAGAGGTAGGCAGTCTCAGGTAGAGGGGAAAGCACAGGTTTGGAAGCAGATAAACCTGAGCCCAAATTCCTGCCTTGAACCTTGCTAGCTGGTAAGCTTGGTCAGCTTGGCCAGTCCTGTTACCTCCCCCCCTTCAGTCTCCTCATCTGTAGAATGGAAATAATACGGCCTTCCTTGCATAGCCTGTTTTGAAGATTTGAGATAAATGGCTATAACATGCCTAGCTCAGTGCCTGAGACATAACCAGTCGTCATCTGGGAGAGCCATGACTTGATGCACACAACGGCCAGCCATTCTGGTTTGTACGGAGAATGCTGCCTCTGGATGCTCTGTGCCAGGCAGACCCCTGCACATGTGGCTTGCACACAGACCCATCGCCTGGAAACTGCCCCGCTGGTCTCACGCACAGATGCACCAGCCAGCCACTTTGTGTGTTTCTCTACTATTACCCTTCATCGATGCATGACTCATGGCTTCATTCATGTCTCCATGTGTGCGTAGAAACCTAGGCAAGCAGCCATTCCTAGGGACATTGCAGGACAACCTCATTGAGATGGACATTCTCAGCGCCTCCCGCCATGATGGGGCTTACGGTGACGGGTAGGTAACATCCCCATGCTCTTTCTCTCCGTGTGTGCTCTCCCCGTGGCTCCCGCCCTTGCATGCAGACCCTGAGACCTTTCCCTGGAATCTCCTGGGGGAGGTGATGATGCCATGTTGCATGCCCATTCCCAAGTCCATGTTCAAATTGTAAGAGTTTATCCTTGGATACCCTGTCCCCCAGCATATTAACAGCAGTCTTGTTAATATGTGGCTCCCGGCATCTCATTGGCTGCCTCTGCCATTTTGAAAGCCATCTCATGCAGCAAATTTTATGCAGCGCAGGCCCTTTGCTATATGTTTGGGCCCTGAGGCATCTTGCACCATAATAGAGTGTGAGATTACCCCTAAGATTTACCCTTGACCCAAAGACTTGGGGGCATGCAGTGCAACCAAGCACCCATTTTCCTAGGCTGTGTACAAGTCCTCCCATGGCCATGGTTAACGCCAAGCTCAGGAGGATTTCCTGCTGCCTCTTCTGGCCACAACCATGTGCTTGGACCACGCCATGCTGCCCTTGAGACTGTAGCTAAGTCGCAGGATGCAGCTGCCCGTCTGTCCTCCGCTAAGCTTTTACCAGGGGCTTGGAAGGCAGCAGTGTGGCTTCTGAGCAGAGTCCTTCAAAGGCATTTGCTGCCATTGGCTATGGAACAGCCACCAGAGCACTCTTGATCATGGCAGTGGTGGTTTCTTGGTTCTCAAACTTCCATAGCCCCCTTTCAAAAGACTGGTATTCCATTCCTTCAGGAAGATGCACTGGTAAAGTAGGTATTGGAAGGTGAAGGAAAATTTGGGGTTTCATTGTCTCCAGGGGACAGAATAGGATTTTAGATACTTTCCAAGTTACAGCAGTAATTTTGGAGAGCAGCTAGTTTATTCCCCATGAAACAGCACCTCCAGCCCCATCCTTCCCAGGAAAAGGATCTCAGCACACAGCCTTCTGTCGAGTAGGTAGCACCTTCTGCCTTGGCGTGGGTGGCTTTTCCTTTGGGCAGGGCTGTCCCATCCGTGTTCCGTGGAAACGTGTCCTCGTGAGCCCTGTTTTGTGGTCTGGTACGTGATTCTCCTTTTTCCTGCCCCCCACCGCCGTCTTCTCTGTGACGACTCTCTCTCTCTCTAGGCTCCTGTGCATGCTTCTTCTACTCCTGCCTCTGTCCTCCAGGTTGACCTGGGTCCCTGGCGAGCCAGCCAACCCTGATGCCCTCTGGCTTCTCTCCATCCACAGGCACTTCCTCTTCAAGCCGGGAGGCACCTCCCCACTCTTCTGCACCACATCACCAGGGTACCCTCTGACTTCCAGCACAGTGTACTCACCTCCGCCCCGGCCGCTGCCCCGCAGCACCTTCGCCCGGCCAGCCTTCAACCTCAAGAAGCCCTCCAAGTACTGTAACTGGAAGTGCGCAGCCCTGAGCGCCATCATCATCTCAGCCGCACTAGTCATCCTGCTGGCGTACTTTGTGGGTAAGCACCGCCCTCGCCCCAGCTTCCCTTCACTCCCCATTGGCCCAGAGGGCAGTGGCCAGGACACCTGTGGGCACTGAAGGTACCCGCCACAGGGAGAGCCAGGCAGCTCTGGAGCTCTGGGCTGGCCTGCACCCCAAACTATTAATGTCCGCACCCCAGGGCTCCCTCTTCTCCTCCTATCTGACCATATGCCAGGAGGTGAGCTTGGCATTTTCTGTTTCATGTCTTGGAGGCCCAGCATTAGGCACAGGCACTCCCTATGACTGGCATTTGAGGTGGTGATCTGTGACAAGAGCGTCATAAATTAGAGTCACTACAAATGCAACAAGTTGGAGAGGCCAGATGCAGGCAAGCTTCTCCCATGGGTGCCATGCAGCTACAACAAGAAGCAGGAAGAAGGTGGGGTGCCCTGGGATTGCAGGGAAACTGCCACAGTTTGGACTGTGCTGACCTCAAGCCAGGAAAGCGTGTCTGAAGGTGAAGTTCTGGCAATGTGATCTGAGGTGCTGTAGGCACCAAGATCCAGAATTACACCATGGGTAGGAATCTAGAGAAGAGACATCCCAGGTACAGGATTAACAGGGAATGGTTAGAGCCACTGAGGGATGCTCAGAGACCCTGGGCAGCATTGACTGGCCTTCCTACTGGACCCAGGGCACCTCCGTGATGTAAGACACTCCTGGCCATCGCCTTGCTCCCACAGCATGCCTTCCACTGCCTGCTCCTTTGATATATTCCCCATGCAGTCTGGTTTCCTGCTCTGGACCCTTCTCTTTGGTCTGCTCCCAGGGAAGATGTTAATCAGAAGAGAACCCCAGGTACTGTGTAGAGACTGCTGCCTCTACGTAAATCACCTGTTGGTGAAGGCATATGGCAGTGTTGGCTTCTCCCTCCGTCCTTTCCAACCTTCACATCTATAATTCCAAGATTTAAGGTAGGGCAGGCCAGCTTGAGAAGGCCTTGAGCCCACGCTAAGGAATTCTGAGATGATTTTGCCAGCAAAGGGGATAAGTAGAAAGGAACTAACTGGCCAGAGGAAGACAGAGTGCTGCCCATTGTGGAAAAAGGACCCTGCGAAGGTGTTTTGGATGAACACAGGGCTGTCACTAGGAATGATCCACAGAGCACGGGCCCCCACTCGTTCAGGGTATGGTGAAGGAACTCAAGCGTGGATGGGGGTTTGGGTGATCTGAGCTGTAAAGTCACTTCCCTTTCAAGATACTCGAATTTCATAGCAGATAACCAGGAAGATGAGAGTCCTATAAACCAGGCAGTCTCCTTAATATCGAGCTGTAAAAAGTATCCTTTGTATGCCAGGGCTCCTTTCCCCTTGTGGAGATTGACTTGGGGAATTTCATGGCTCCAAGGCTAGACTGGCATCCATGCATCATCTCCGCTATAGGGTGGATTAATTATTGCTGCATAGAAAGCTGTGTTGAGAAAGATCCTGAGGCTATATTCAGACCCAATGGGAAAGAGCCTCTGTGATTGATTAATAATATATCTGTCATGGTCACAGGAGTGGGGAATATTGATGACATACCAGGTGTTTGCCATCTCTGCTGAGGGTGAAAGGAACAACCAGACTCTGGGAAAGGTGTGCATCATAGATAGATAGACTTCAATGGGTTACAGGTGAGGGTGGTAGGGTTCCAAGCACCGTCCCCCAGCATGAAAGTTTCTTCCTGTGTCCCAGCAAACCACTAGCACAGCTCTTGCTTTTGACTGACATTTTCCATTTGCTCAATGGGTAGGCTTTTGAACAAGCAGTGTCACTGTTCGTCAAAAGTCAAGTGGTTTGCTATGTATAGACCTGTTTGACATTGAAGTCTTGAGGTTTATACTGAAGAGCCTCGTTCAGGGAGAAAGAATAAATCGTCATATGATTGAATAAGCTCTCTTCTGCTTCCATCCCATGGGCTTCTTCCTTTCCCATTTAATACAGTCAGTCACCCCATTTATGTTGTCAGTTATCAGCTATCTAAAAAGGTAGGGACTACTGTTTGAGGTAGTGAGCTCCCTGTCATAGGAAGGGTACAACTAGACCTTGACAACCACATAGTAAGAATAAGATTCAAGCACCGACTGGGGGTTTTTACTGGATGATCGTTACTTTTCCTTCCAACTTTGATAGTCTTTGAATCTATGATTCTAAGATTTTTATTTTTGTTCAGTAAACCCTAAGGGATACCTGCTTTGAGCCAGGCATAGTCTAAGTGTTAGGACTGGCGATGTGATCCTTACCCTTGAGGTGTTTGTAGTTCAGCAAAGGAGACAGCTGTGTTGGCAGTGATTGAGGCAGCTCAGGGCTGTGGGAATACCCAGCCCCCATCAGGAGGACTCGGGGAGGCTACCTGGGAAATGTGATGTGTTAGCTGAATCTTTAAGTCAGAGTAACCATAGACAGACAGGGAGGGTATTCTAACCTGAGGGAAGTTTCAGACTTGAAAGAGGACAAGTGGTGGTAAAGGCATTTCCTGTGTTTGAAGCGCTTGAGGGATGTTGGAGTTACTACAAGAGAGTTTGGTCAGATTATGAAGGTTAGGATGGCGGCCAAGTGAAGGACCTAATGGACAGACAGCTGGGAGCCATTGGAGGGATTTAAGCAGTGGCAGGACAGTCAGATTTATTTTAGAAAGATAAGGGTAGAGGAGGAAGAGGTCCTATTGCAGTAAATGAGTAAGGAGAAGGTGAGGGCTTCAACTAAGATGGTGGCAATGTGGGTGGAAGGAGGGGAGATCTATTGCTGATGGACTAGAATCTGTGTCTCAACTTGGGAGTGGTCAGGCCATTGATCACATCTCCCTGACACTATGAACACATCTTTCTGAGAAAGCTCTCTCTGTGTTGAAACGTTCAGACTGGACCCTAGATTCCATATCCAAGAACCAGGTCAGAGAGACAAGTCTGGGGTGTTCCCCTCGTCACATGGAGCCTCAGCTCATAGGCAGCCCAGCAGCCTGATTCCACTCCCAGCTCGGCTACCTGGCCAGTTTGTCCTGGGCGACTTCTCTTTCTGAGCCCAGACTTCCTCAGCTAGGAAATGGGCAAGACCCCTTCCTTCAGAAGCTGGTCTGAGGCTGGGTAAGTTAATGCAGATGGATGCATTGCAGGTGCGAGGCCATCCCTAGCTTTCCTCCAGGGCTGGAGGCAGCCACCTCTGTGCTCAATCTCCTCCAGCTGCTGGGGGGAGCCATGAGAGGCTTGTTGCTCGGCCATAATCAGAGGCTGTGATGACTAACTTGTAAGGAACTATCAATTATTAAAAATCAAATTAATTGTCTCAGCAGAGCATAAATATCCTTAACAAAGACTCTTTTTCCAGCAGGCCAACCAATCTAATCAACAGGCTAAAGCACAGATATTTAATTAGATTTTTGATGAAAAATTGTGTTTAATTTCAAGTATAATCAATTATTAATTACCATAATGAGTGAATCTGACTGGGTTTACTAATTAACTCATTTAAAAATTATGAATAACCTTTTCATTTGTAATTATTTTCTACATCCTATCAAGTTCTAGATAAGAATTGCGTCACCTCCCCAGCACTAGGGGAGGAGGAAACGGGAGGGGGCGGGGGGGTGAAGAATTGTTCTTTCTCTGGTGTCTGCTCCCGGCTGCCATATCAGGATGGAAACCCGACAGACCCATTTGACATTCAGTTTCTTAGTTGGAAAGTTTCTTGGGAAACAAGCAAACAGTGACCTTTTATTTACAGAGACATTTGCAGTTATTTTCCTAGGAAGATGGAGGGATTGGAGTCCACAGTTAGAACCCACAATGACTGCAGGACCTGGGCCTTGCCTCTGGGCCAACACCTCCCCCGCCTCCAGTGGGCTGTCTGGCCTGGGATGAGAATCTAGGGAGGACCCTCCCAGTCTGGGGGACCTCTTCAGAGAGAAGATGTGTCTTTCTGCCTCCAAAGGATGCCCATTCAGAGACGCAGCCATTGAGGACGAGCGCCTTGTTTTTTTGTTTGTTTTTGTTTTTGAGTGCCTTGTTTTATTCACCCATTCTCCCAGGGAAGGTTTTATGTACTTTTTAGTCTCCCTTTCAATACTCTGCCTTTTCTTTTCTGAAGAAAAAAGGAAATCTGTGTGCAGAACAAAATGGGGAGAGGATGCTATCCTGGGAGGATTAGTTACAAGTCAAATCATGAAGCTTTCACAGTCAAGGCTTCATTTTTCATACTTTAATTTTTTAGAAACAAAAGGCAGTGTGGTCTAGAGTAGTAAAAATTAGAGTGGTCACTTTTTATCGTTAATAAGATCAGTTAGCATTGATTGTGCGCTATACACGTGCCCTTCTCTGTTCTAAGCACTTTGCTTGTGTTTCCTCATTGAAATTTCCCAACGTATGGATGAGTTATTATCCCCAACGTATGGATGAGGTCTGGAGCCCCTGTGAGCTTGAGTAACCGCACCGTCTCCGTCCGTCCACCCCCCGTGCCCCCCCACCCCCGCCGCGAACTGTCACCTGGTAAATGGCAGGACTATGATCCAGCCACCCCTCGGCACCAAGGCTTTGAGTGGACGCTTTTAAAATATTTTCTCTTTTGAGCTCACAGTCTTGAGAACGCTATAACTTTTCCATCTTAATTTTGTGTTTTGAATTCCATGTATCTTCCAAACCCGTTTCATGTATCTTCTCTCTGAACACTCACAGGAGTTCTGTGAGCCCGGCATTCTTTTCTGTACAGGCCGTCCTCGGGTTACGTTGGACTCCATGTACGTTGTTTCATGGTTATGTCGCCATCTTCCATTTATTAAAAAAAAAAAAAGTTCCATCATTTCGACGTATGTACATATGTGCTTTATGTTATTTTTATTATTTATTTACCACAAGTAACAGCCAGGAATTGTTATTTTTCTTTTAAAATTTTTTACTGTTTCACTTCATTATTATTGTGTATGTGCTCCATGTGAGTGATGTAGGTGCTTATGTAGGTGGGTTCTGACCTATGGTGAAAATTGCATTATGTAGTGCCGTAGGAA